CCACCCAAAGGGATAAAACCCATCGGATGTAAATGGATCTATAAAAAGAAGAGAGAAACAGACAGAAAGGTACAAACCTATAAAAGCTAGGCATGTTGCAAAAGGGTTTACTCAGAAAGAAGGGATCGATTATGAGGAGACTTTTTCGCCAGTAGCTATGCTAAAGTCTATTCGAATTCTCTTATTCATTGCAGCTCATTTCAATTACGAAATTTGGCAAATGGAAGTCAAGATGGCATTCCTTAATAGGAATCTTGACGAGTGCATTTATATGACGCAACAAAAAGGCTTCACAAAAAACAGTCAAGAGCATTTGTTATGCAAGCTTAAGAAGTCCATTTATGGATTAAGCAAGCATCTAGATCTTGGAACATTCATTTTGATCAGGTTATCAAGTCATTTGGCTTTGATCAATGTTCGAATGAGTCTTGTGTATACAAGAAACATAATGAAAACATGGTGATGTTCTTTGTACTTTATGTGGATGATATCTTGCTTATCGAAAAAGATCTTGGGGTGTTATCTTTAGTCAAGGTTTGGTTATCCGAACAGTTTGATATGACGGACTTGGGAGAGGTTGGTCACATCCTTGGGATAAGCTTTTAAGAAGCAAAGGGTGTTGGGATTATCACATGGTACTTATATCGATACTATTCTTGCCAAATTTAGCATGCAGGATTCCAAGAAAGGGTTTCTCCCTTTCAGGCATCGAATCACTTTATCCAAGGATTAGTGTCCTAAGACATCTGAAGAGATAAAAAGAATGAAGGCAGTTCCTTATTCCTCAACAGTGGGAAGCCTCATGTGTGTGATGTTATGTTCTAGAACTGACAAATGTTTTACTGTTGGCATGGTTAGCAGATATCAGTCTAATCTATGGCAAGAGCACTAGACTGTAGTAAAACATATACCCAAGTACTTGAAAAGGATTACGGATTATATGTTGGTTTACCAAGCAGATAGTCTAGTATCGTTAGGATACATAGACTCAAATGTCTAATTAGATAAGGATTCTAGAAAGTCAACCTCGGGATATGTGTTTACTTTGGGAGGTGGAGCCATAAGTTGGAGGAGCGTCAAGCAGTCATGTATTGCTGATTCCACCATGGGGGTTGAATATGTGGCAGCTTTTGAAGCAACCAAAGAGGTCGTTTGGCTTAGAAACTTCCTAGAAAATGTAAGAGTGGTACCTTTCTTACAGTCAAAGATTACACTTTATTGTGATAATAGTGGTGCGGTTGCTAACTCGAAAGAACCTAAAGCCCAGAAGAAGGAAAAACACATCGAGCATAAGTATCATCTTACACGAGAAATTATTCAAGGAGGTGATGTAGTGGTGACCAAGATTGCATCGGAAAACAACCTGCCGATCCTTTTACAAAGAGTTTACTGACCAAGACTTTTGATAGTCATGTAAAGGGAATGTGAGTGAGATTCATGGCAACATGGCTTTGAGTCTAAGTGAGAGATTGTTAGAAAAATATACTAAAACCCATCTTTTTGTGTAATGGGATTTAGTATTTGGTTTGAATAATATCAATTATTCCAGTTTTAATGAGAATCATTATGAGTAATATTTGTATTATATTATTTGTCTAATATTCTGCATGTGTGTCTTTTATTCTACGAAGTATGTGATCTGGTGTGTATAGTACGGCTTACACATGGAAGATCATATCAGTAGTTCTTGTCGAATACAAGTGGTTTATAGTCTAAGATGGATTTGGACACACCATTGGTAGGACTGTAGAATGGTGTTTGAGTAGGTTTGTCTTGACTATAGAAAACGATAAAGTTTCAACTCATTGTGCTAGTACGCTTTGTGTGTATTAAGTAAGACCATATTGGGATAATTGTTCATGTACTGATTGGATGAGACAATTTACATCACATAGTTATTATGAGTGCTTATATTGTTAATAGGAAAATAATTAATAATCACGTGCATTTAGTGTTGGTCATTTTAATTCATAAAAGAGTGAGATTCTTTATAGGTTAATAAGCTCAGTGAGTTGGGTGATCACTTTAAGTGTATGATGGATATTGATTATTGAAAGAATCCACGTTCTGATTTAGGGATTGATAATACCTCTTGAAGAAGCTTAAGCTTTGATTATGTCAAACCCTGCAGATGGATTTTGTATTCGACATGTCAAATCGGTTAAGTGGAAGGTCTCAAGAAAATATTAAGAAATCGATAAAATTTAATTGTCACTAATTTATTTAATTGACGAGTATAAGTAATCTTAACGTGTGAAGATAAATAAGCATTTAATAATGTGGAGCTCGAAATATAATTTCGAGATTAAGATTGAAGTGCAATTATAATTTTTTAGTAATATGAATTATAATTTATGAAATTAGGAATTATAATTCATGTTGAATTAAGTTTTCCTAATTCCATAGGGAGTCCTAATCCTAATCTACTCCTAATTGTCCCTGTCGTAGCCTACATATATATATATATATATATGCATCCTTGTAGCTCTCTAGAAGAAACAATTTTTCAGGTTTACAGAGAGTGCAAGGAAGTTCACATTTTTGAGCCCACACCCAGTTCGTGATCAGGCATAAGGAAGGAATACGGTAGAAGATTGTAAGGTGCAACCGAGTTCGGAATTCATCAACTATAATCTTTTGTTCGTGATTTAAACGGTATCAAACTAGATAGATCTCAAAGGTATAAACCCTAATTCCACCTTGTAGTATTTTATAGATCATTGTAATTTTTTTGGAGTCTAATCTATACGCGATATCACTGGGTCTTGGGAATTTGGTCCCAACACAACTGAGCCTCAGTTTCCATTGTTAGTAGACACTAGCGCAACATGAGACCCTTCATGCTGTGGAAGCTTATGAGCTAGGTCAAGGGTCTTCACTAGCACATCTTTGTGTGGCTAAGCGTCTTGATGACATGAACCTCAATTCGACAAGTGTTTTACTCATAAGCGAGCTTCGTGCTATAAAGTAACATGAGCCGTGGTTGGTGCACTTTAGACATCAAGTCTACTTGTGGCATTCGAGAAAGCAAAGCTTTCTTCGTGGGATTTATTCTTACTTGACAAAGCGTTGGACCAACAAATGTCAAAATGAGTGAAGATTCGACTCTTGAATGGTCTAAAAACGATTGTCACGCTTGAACTTAGTAGATGTTAAACAGCACATAGACTAAAATTATTACAAAAGTATAGTGAGACAACACCCGCAGCACTTGCAACATTGCCCTCTCTCTCTCTCTCTCTCTCTCTCTCTCAAATGTAAGAATAATATTCACAATTATCATGCCTCTTAATAGGTGTCTGACACAAAAAACTTCTATCTCTCTCTTCTTTATATGAGACGTTAGAATTTACAAGCCCCTTAGGGGGTGATTATTTGGATGGACTAGACGAAGGGAGATTGCAATACAATGGATTGTTAGTCTTGAGATAAATAGTTCCTCGATTATTTGGTTCAAAATTATGTGTATTTGACTATAGTTCAATTTTCACTTTTCTAATCAAACAATGGACTAGTTTATCTATTGGACATGAACTCCAATCCAATGCCTCAATCCCATGAAACAAACGCCCCTTAATGTGTAAGACAAAAGATTAAAAAACAAACAAACAAACTTATCGTCAAAATTTTCCTCAATCGTTACATTGTACAGCAAATATGTACAAGCTGGTTACATCTAAACGTCTGATATTAGTGGGAGTCCCACTGTGGATGCCCTATTGTTGCTCCTTATTTTTAAGTCGATTAACTTGACTTATTAGCTTGTCCAAATTTATTAAAACTTTTTTAACTGAATCAAACTGCCATTGATGAAACATGTGATTAACCTATTAATTTCAATGGGTTAGTAGATGAGACGTTAGAGCTATGGCCATATCTGATAACTATGTCATTTTTAATGTATTTGGCTTATGCAGATTCATTTTGTAATCCTTGTGAACTTCTGTATATATTCTACGAGTAATGTTATACTTCATGAAACAAATATCATGGAAAGTTTCATAAAGATTTTTCAAATTTGGATTAGTTTGTGGTGTTTTATTTTATGTTATGCAATCACATACATTAAGTCACAGCTTATCAATCATAGAGCACTATAAGACAAAACTAAGTTCATGTTACTTGCAAACTAAGCTCACCAGGTTCGTCTCTTTCCACATTTTGTTGTTTGTTTTATTGTAATTTTCGCATGAATACTTTATTTGGGTTGCACAATCAGAAATCAAAGACCTAAATTTTGGAAATTAGAATATGATTTTCTAAATCAGAATATGATTAGGGCATTGGATTCAGCTTTTGTAGAGTTTATTTGGCTTATCTAATAAAATTTTAGTTTTTATTTGGATTCAACTTTTGTATTCGATTGGAATTTTGTTCTTTGCGATTTCTTCATAGGTACGTGATTTTTGTTCTTCACGATTTCATTTCATTTAGTTTCAATTTCCAGTCGAGAATCACTCTGTTCGCACTTTCTTCTTCTCTTCGATCATTGCATTTCCTCTTTCTATCCACTTCGTATATTTTCGAATATTTCAATTGTTGTTCATTGAGGCCATATTTATATTTCAATTCTTGATATTTTTATTGTGATTTCTGAGCATCAATACCTTTTTAAACATATGCAAAAATTGTTGCATATATAGGTCAATGGTTTTATATATACAATTGTGGACCTTTGATTAATTTCATTGATATATTATAGTTGTTGCTGGCGATTGCAATTGAATTCCTTTAGATTGCGTTTAGATCTTCCAGTTGTTGTTATTTTTATTATTCACTTGAGTGTTTCTATTTGTCTTGATTAAGGAAATTGTTTGATTCGTTGCTGGACGATCTAGGGATGGTCTGAATATTGGTGGATTTGAACTTCTTGATAACATGCAATGTCTAATTTGTGTTTTACTCTGTATTTTTTGATATTTATTTGCTCTGTTTAATTATATCTTTATGGTATTCTTTGTTGGATTGGGTCAAACAAGTCATCCTTTGTTTGGCTTCTTCACTCCCTTCCACTTTTTATAAACCAATTTGCAAGCAACTTCCACTACTATAGTAATAATTAAACATAATAATTTAAGCCTATTGCTTCAATTATATTTTGGCACAATAGTACAGTAAACTACATCTAGGCCTATTGCTTTCTCTCTCTCGTTGGTATAGTTTGGTAGCTAAATTTCAAAATAATATTTTTTGGTTTTTATTTTTTCATTCTTTTCTTGCAATTCTTGTATACAAAGCTCCAACCTTTACAATTGTCTCCACCAATGTAAAATTTCGGTTTTTGAGAAAATTAGTTTTGATCAATCAGGTGATTCGCACTTCATTTGTTGATTTTTGTCTTTAATTTGTGTTTGTTTATTTGAGTACTGATTGTGAGGATTGAATTGAAAGTTGAGGTTTGATTTTTTTTCAAGGTATGTGAAGTTAGGTTGTAATTTGTTTGATTTGTGGTTTTTTTTTTTTTTTAATTTAATTGTGAATTTTAGATTTTCAACTTCAAGAAGGAAAATCAGTAATAGTTTTAAATGGACAAACCACAAAACCCCCCACCAAACCCATCTCCATTGCGAAGTGCCCAAGTTTTCCAGGTAATATGCAATCGAGTTTGTTATGTCACTTGGTTCATGCAAGTATTCCCTGACTTATTCTTTCTACTTTCATGCAAGAACTTGCACATTTTAATCATGGAAATCCTTGTTTGGCTATGGACATTTTAGGTATATTAGAGAGAGAGCTTGAGAATAGTAAGCATTATATCTTTCACATTCAGAGAGGTGGTAGCTGATGTAGAATACAAGGGTAAGATAATCGATTAAATTTTGATTAAAATGTGAACATTTGAGATTGAATTAACCCCATTTCAGAACAACCATTAGTTTGTATAAGAAATAACCCGATTTTTTCTATGTTTATCTAGGAATTAAACAACGGAGGGGTACCTTAGTCCTGAAGGCTGGAAGGTTATGCCTTTATTGGGGAATATTCATCACAATCTAGAATTCTTTAGAAACCCTCAAAAGTTAAATCTATCAAGATTCGAGGTATGGTCAAGATTAGTATTGAGATTTTCCTCTATTTAGTTTTTTTTTCCCTAAATTTTTTTCTTGGTGCCAAAGCCCTATACATTTATGCCATTTAGCAGTGGGGTACACGACTGTCCGGGGGAATGAGCTTGCAAAGCTGGAGATGCACATACTGATTCTACATCCCCTTGCGATGTTCAAAGGCTAAATTCTGTCTCTGATCAGTTTTGTTCTTTGATGAATGCAATTCTATTTCGTTTCTTCTTGTTCATACTTTATGGGAATAATAGATATTAATTTTAGTTTTTTGACTCTTGGTTGTTGATTTTATGTTAAAGTTGTTGACGAACATAAATAAATAATTTATTTTATAAGGTTGCAATACATCATCAAAATCGATCGATGGTCAAATTGGTGATGTTCTATATCTTTAATGTCTTGGCACATTTCTTGTGACCATTGAAGATGTTCTATGCTACTTAGTCCTTAGGGATTAATCTTATTGCAATAATTGCGCATTGTACAGTAAAGATGGTCTTGGTTTGATCAGATGTTTTAACTAAAGCAGATGGTGATTGATACTTGCCCACTGAGATTGATATATCTTATTACTAACTGCAAGAAATGTGACAAAAGCATCAAATTGATATACACTGCCCAAATATTTTTGTTGGGATTAAACACATCCAGAAAGATAATTAACATACAATCACATACACTAAGGAGACAAATATTTGCGTGGTCCAGCCCAATGCCTACGTCCACGGGAGAGAAAGAGAATGCACTATAAACAGAGCAAACATACAAAAAGGAGTCTCTCACTCTCTCTACTCAACTCAGAACCCTCATACACTTCTCACAACTCTTTTTTTTCCCTTCACCTTCTGATAATCAACTCAGCTCACATCTCTCCCTATTTATACACAAACTGGAGAGCCAAAAAATCATCATTTGCTTGCCAACAACCAACTACAAAAGTAAATGGCAAGCCATTAACATAGCCACCCTAGGTTGGAAAAACTTCAGAAAATCTATGGGTGTGTTTGGTTTGTGTTTGTAGAGTAGTTTTTGAGATAAAAAAGTATAAAAATTTGTTTGGTTTGTCTTTTTTCAGAAATTGTTTTGGAAAATTGTTTTGGAGAGAGAGTTTAAAAAAAAGTGATTGATTTGATATGTATAAGAGAGTAATTTTGGAAAGTAGATAACCAAATAAAATTTTGAGATTTTTTTTGAAAAAATTTGTTTAGTTTGATTACTCTTGAAAAATTATTTATAGAGAATTTTTCTCAAAACTTTTTCTGAAAAACAAACCAAACAAGGCCTATAACTCAAAATCTGCAGCAGCTACATTTGACTTCCATGGCCTACTTCAAAATGGTTTGGATACTCAACAATTTTCAATCTGATTATCATTTTAACCATGGATAACAAATTTCATACCATGAGGTATGATATGATAGTAAAATCTATAAATCTGCATAGTCCCCTGCAAATTACTCTTATTGGACTCCAATTCACAATGAACTATTTAAAGAAAATTAGAAAGATGACTGTGACTACGTGTATGACATGACAACATGACTTTGGTTGTTTACACCTTTTTTTTTTTTTTTTGGCTTTTGAAGAGCCTCAAAAACAGGGGTCATTGTAGCTTTTGCTTTAGGAGTGCAACCTTATCCATGGCCTCATTCTTTGCCTGTTCGGCCTGCTATATGAGATTCTCTCTCATGCATTGATATATATATATATATATATATATCTTATTGTGCTGGTTACTTTTTTCTTTATTTTTTGTGTGTGTTTGATCTATTAGTTGGACTATCTTCATTCATTTGTAGATTTTCTGTTTGTTTTTTAGAATTTTCACGTTTCACAGTTTTTTTTTGCTCGTACGATATCAAAAGGTTCTGTTTTTGAGCTGCCTCAGCTGGCACATAAAAATGGGAATTTCATCTTTGTCATGCATTCTTTTGAAGCATTCTTCATTTGAACAAGAAGAGTGTACATGTTGAGCTATGTTTAATTGGGTATATTTTATGACGTTCAGTGAAGTTCATGATGTGAAAATTTCTTTTCTGAAGCTGAGATGGTTATTTAAAGTCAAGGTTCTGAACCACTTTCATGTTTTTCAAATCTTTGTAATTAATGAATGTGTGGTGTGTGCCCAGGGAAGATTCAAGTATCTACCAGGCCAAGTTAGAGCTTTTGGGATACTTGCTGGAGGCATTGGCATTACTCCAATGTTCTAGGTACCTAACTTGTTGATAAAAGATGAATAGCTTTTCCCAAACGAGGACTCTTTATTGTGTTGAACAAATAAGTAATTTTATTCCTATGTTTCTAGCAACCTTTGAATTAATTTGTATTTTTATTATTTAGTTCAGAAATTGCTTAGAGAGATGTAAAATATGGTCAAAGAAGACAAAACATAGCAGAACACTTTGAGTTTTCCTCAAGTTTTTTCATTTTTTGTAATAAGATTTTTATTGTGTAATTACAGTTAAAAAACCTTTATTCCTTAACTTTCTTTGTATACATTTTTTCAACATTCGACTTTCATTTATAAAATATATGAGATTATTAGTTATTTGTATGAGGTCAATGTTGTGATTTTAAAAGATAGTTAATAATAGGTGTATTTTATTCAAATGTGTAAAATATTATTGATTATATTTTAGATATTAGTTGTATATCATATTTAATCATGGTTTATATGCAGTGATTGATAGTAACATTTTGTGGTCTAAGTCTTTTTTTATGACACGCACTAATCGTGATGAGAAATGCATATAATTGTGATTTTATCTCATTATTAATTATGAATTATTTAAGTTCAATCTCAGGTTTTATTGGTTATTAATCACACTTAAAATTTGTCATCTAAATATTTATTATCACAGTCAAAACACGTGATGATATTATCTTTTCATGACAGTCAAAAAATGTGATCGAAAAAATAACCCTTAACAATCACACTTCCAAATATCACAATTTGACAAAACAAAAAAACCCGTGATTAAATCACAAGCATCACAGTTAAAATCCATGATCTATTTATGATTTTGTAATAGTGTCAAAATTAAAACATACTTGCATTAAAGTAAGCCGTTTTTCTTGTTTTGTTACCCACCATAGTAGATTGTTTCTAAAAACTCCATGAAACTAGAAACAATTTCATGAAACTTTTCCTAATATTTCTTTTATGAAGCCTAGTATATTATACATATGAAATAATATTTAAAAATTCATTTGAGAAGTAATTTTTTCTTATGATTTTTTTGTTAAAATATGACATGAAAAAAATAATAATTTATACAAATAAAAATTTCATACATAATGATGTGGCTCATTATTGACCTTTCATTTTAAAACAAAACACTATTGAAGATGAATTTATTTATAATAATGATATTGCCATATCATTCTTGTCAAGTTTTATGTATATATAAATTTTTTTCTAAAAAAAATTTGAAACATGTGAAAATAACTTTTTAATTTTTTACAAATATATATATATATATATATGTCAAAAGTAAAAAGAATGAATAAATTTTTTTTGAATTTTTTATGTGACATTTTGACTATATTAATCTCCTCCCAAACATTCATTTAATTATACAAAAATCATCACTTTCAATGTGAACCCCGTCATGCAGCTCAAATAATGTTACAAAAACTATGCCTTTGTTACCATAATTACTTTAGCATGTCAGCTTGCCTCATATTGCTCAAATAATGTTACAATAACTACGCCTTTATATCATAATTAATTTAATATGTGTCAAATTATTATTGTTAGGTTTTTATTCTTAACAATTCTGTTTGACAAAATTCTTGTAAGTTGTAATTTTATTCGTTCTTATATTTTAGTGAGGCTATGAGTATTTAGATGGGAATTCAACCTAAATTGTGTCTTGCAGAGAAGCTTCAAAACATAATTTTTTCATGTTTGCCACTTCACTGACTATGTCGAGAATCGAACTGCCCAGTCAGCTCGTGGAGGTCTAGGAGGCAACGCCCCTTGGCGGGTCCGGGGTAGCGCCATAGCGGGGTTGAGGAGCAGCGCCCCGAAGCAAAATACAAAAATACATTCAAAGTTGCTTGTTCGCTCGAGCAGCCGTTTGTGCGCTCGAGTAAAGAATGTTTGATTCCAGAAATTTGACATGTCTGCAAAAGTACTGGAAGTTGAGATTTTACGCTCGAGCAAACTTTCCTACACTCGAGCGAGATCCGCTCGAGCGGCCATTCCTTCGCTCGAGCAGAGATCACAGAACAGTTTGTTATAAATATGTGTTTCAGTCAGATTTTAGGGTTATGCTTTCAGATCTTCTTCTTGGATATTAGGGTTTATATCTGAAGCTATTTTGCTAGTTTCCTTTGATGTTTGATTTAGTATTCAACTCATGGTTTAAGAAGTATACATCAAATGATTGTTTGTTTATTCTATAGAAAATAGAGAGTTGTTCTTCAGTGGATTATGGGGAATGCGAGTTTGAAATTTTAGTGGATTCTAGAGTGGCTTATCGTCGTGATTCGACATCGGCGTTGTGGATTCAACGTTAGGTAAAACAATTTCGAGATGAAGACTGTGGTGGAATAGACATATAGGAGTCGGTTCAAATTGAGTGTGGATTCGCTAGGTAATTGAGAGCACACTTGTGTAATTCCTTTTGTCTTCTTAGCGGATTGTTTTGTGACTTTAGCCCGTAATTTTTTTATCACAATTGGAGGTGTTCCAATTGTGATTTTTCCATGTTAGAATCGTTGTATCGATTTGTCTTGATTGTTTGATTGAGATTGTTATCTATTGCTTAAAATTGATACATAATCACAAATCAATATTTTTGAAATTTTCTAAATTTTTCAATTATATTAGTAACAGAAATAATTAATGAAACCCACTCAATCAATAAATTTATGATAAACAAAATAATAAATTCAATATAACAAAAAGACACTACCATTGTAATATTACTCAAATGAAATATCAAATATTGTAGTCAAACTATGTTGAGAGGATTCTCGTCGGTCTAGAAGTTATTAAAATCTTGTTTGAATTAAATTATATAAGTGTACTTTTTTATATAAATATATTTATTTAAGTCACATTAATTAATACATTCTCTTTATATTTTTATATTTATTTATTTTTTATAAAAATTAAAAAATATACTTATTTAAAATATTTCAAATCAATCCTAATCTACAATCAAAGTGAGGGAGGGCTTTAATATTTTTATGATTGATCGGTGATGTGATGAGTTGATGGCAATATAATATCTTATCAATAGGAGTCTAATAACTGGAAATGGTACAAATCTCCTGGATCAAATAGTACTTTTTCCCGCCCGCCAGTCCATTGTTTGTACACGTGG